CTGCCTCTGCCTCTCCCTCTCTTTCTCTCTCTCCCTTCCTATCTTCTATGTTCTTTCTCTCCTTCCTCTCTTTTTGCTATTTCTCATCTACCTTTGTCCAGCGCACACGTATAATCCCGAACATTCCGATAACCCCCTCCCCCCCTTCCCCCCCTCACGCCTATTCAAAGTTTTCGGGATAAAGAAACCTCACAAATGTATATATATTTTTTTCTTCTCAGTTTCCCCTCCACCTCCAGCCTCTCTCCCCCCCTCCCCTCCCTTCTCCCCTCTCCCCTACTGCTGTGTGTGTGTTGTGCGTTTTCTTCTTTTTTTCTCTCTCTTCTCTTCTCTTCTTTATTTACGTTTCTTTCTCCTTTCTTTCTTTTTTCCTTTTTTTCATTGTTTCCTTCTCTCTTTCTCTTTCTTTCTTTTATTTTCATTCGTTTTCATTATTAGCCTTATTTTCTTCCTCTTTTCCCCCACTTTTTTGTGCTTATTCCCCTTTTCCTTCTTTGTCTTTTGTTATCAATATTCCTTTCTTTTATTATATTCCTCTCCCTATCCTTCCTTCTCTTTTCTTTCCCATTTCCTCTATTTTCCACTCTCACTTCCCTTTATCCTCCCTTTCGTTCACTCCGCCTCTCCTTCTTTTCATTCCTCCGCTAAAATTCACTTCCTTTTTCTCCCCTTCCCCCCACTCCCCTCTTCGTCTCCCCCAACACCCTCCTTCCCCCCCTTTTCTCTCCACCTTCTTCCTCCTTTTTCCATCTTTCCATCTCCTCTTTTCTTCCGTTCCCCCCCCCGCCCTCTCTTCCTCCCCTTCTTTCCTCCTCCCCCCACCTCCCTTTTTTCCCCTCTCTCCCTCCCCTTCTTTCCTCCTCCCCCCACCTCCCTTTTTTCCCTCCCCCCAACCTTACTCTCCCTCCCTCCCCACTCCGCCCTTTCTCCCCCCCCCCCTTTTCTCCGCGAAGCACCAAATGTGATGTACGTAATTATAGCTACGAATAACTTCATTATTGGACGATGTCGCCTCTGGTCTGCCGCGGGTGGGGGTGGGGGGTAGGGGGGGTAGGAGTATGCTTAGGGGGGGGGTATGGGTAGGAGGCTATTGCGCTTTGAATTCTGATCTGATTTTATCCACAAACGTGCTTTTGGTTTTTGT